CAAACATGCGTTATCATCCACATTGACAGAAATCAGAAAGCCTTCACAGCCCAGGAAACTCAGATGGCAAAAATAAGTGTGAAAGGAATTCTAAGCAGGTGACGAGTGATAGTTCGTGTCCCTACGTTTCTGGAAGAATTCAGAAAGCACAATATTAAGATAGACTGTTATCCAACAAGCCTACAGCAAAAGCACATTTTCTTTTCAGCTAAAGAAGTAGCTTATTACCACTCTACAGAGGCCACCTTCAATTATAGGAAAAAGATAGGACACTGCTGGACCTCAGCATGGGATCTCAAAACTGAGGATTGTTTTTGACCACTTGTTGGAGCATGTAATGATGGTGTGGCTACAGTCCAGGGCATTAGCGCACTGTGAGCCTTGTTCTTCCACCTCAAAATCTAGGAAGGAGCAGGGTTGCCTCTATTGTCCCATCAGTCAACATGAAAAAAAAGTTATGTTCAACATCTGATTTATAGCCCAGACAGCATTTCTAAGATGGAAGAGAGCTTAAGAGCTAGAAACAAGGATTTTCAAGAGTCTCCACCCCCACTGCAGTATAACATCATCTAGGACATTCCCCTTTATCTTTCCTCAAGTCTCAGTCTGAGTCTTTAACACCTTTATCTGAAAGGAGAGAGATATTAGTAATTTTATATTCCTCAAAAAAAAAAATTATCAAACCAAACAAACATAAAGAAAATAGTCAAACTTAAAAATACATCCAGGGAAAAAGCAAGCATTGATATCAGGTTCTCACATTCAATAAGATAAGTGAATTCACTGTATTTCTATCACTTCTAACACTAGACATCAAGTAGATGAACCTCAATACTTGCCTTAAGCAACACCCACTTAGCAGAAATGAGCACAGTACTTTTATCTGGCTACAAACTACAGAGGTGGCATTCTCCTGAAGCCAATTAATTACACATTGCTTTGTAGCATCACTGTAGTCAGAATGCACTTGTAGGAAAAAATTACCACCAGCCATTCCTCTGCCATTAAAAGTTCTGCCTTTTACAGTCCTGTTGATTGCACATTTAATGAGTTGCTGTAGCAGCAATATTACTATTGTTGTTAAAGTGTATCTTGTTTGGTTTATGGTCCTGTTCTCAACTATTAAGTGTTCTAAAATAGAAGTGCTGTTTAGGAATATGGTTTAGCACTGGACTTGCTGAGTTAGGTTAATGGTTGGACTCGATCTTAAAGGCTTTTTCCAAGCAGAACAACTCTGTGATTAGTTGTGTTACTTCAATCAAATGATTCAATGTCTTGCATCTTTGTCATATTTCATGTGTGGATAGAAAGAAATTCACTGTCATAGAAAGAAAAAAAGGGAAATATTTGTTTCGTATCAAGCCTCTAAAAGAATCTGATTTTGGTCATTTGGTGTTGAGCAAAGACTAAAGTATCCAGCCTTACAATATAAATGTTCAAGCAATATTCAGAAAGCTGTCATGTTAGCTAGAAGTAGGAAAGTCTCATTAGAGAAAAATTGAACTACAGATCTTAGTTACTGACCTCAATGGCTGATCATACAAGCTTTCCCTTCTACAAATAGTTTTCCAGTCAGAATGTAGGTGTATGGGTATATGGGGCCAACAAAGCATGGAGGTGGCTGCAGAAACAGACCCTGAGTCTATTATACTCTACATGCACTCACTGAGGACTCAGTACAGTGGGACTCATTTCTGAAGCAGTATGAGAACAGTATGCTGTCTTCAGCATAGTATGAAAACAGTACCAGGTATACAACCATGACATTAGATCTGCCAAAACCGGGATGTCTGAGGAAACACAGAAGTGGACAGGAAAGCACACATTTCATGATGGTTTTACCAAGTTAAGTTAATCTTCAAAAATGTTCCCCTTCACTTTTTATGAGACTGATTTTAGAGCAGTATTTTTTACTCATTCCATCAAAACATACATAATTAACTGGACATGTAAATACACCTCAATCTTGTTGCCTCTTTGGCACTACCACTGACTGGAAATATGAGTAAGAGTCACCACCGTGTCTCAAAGCCACACAAAACTGAGTTTAGGTAATATACAGAGGATTTTTAATTTCAAAAACATGAACTCTGTAATTTGGTAGGCATTTGGTTCATGCATATAATTTTAAACCATCCTGAGAAATTAGCTGCATACAGTTCTTAAAATTAAAAGTGAATAATGAACAAAATCCTAGAATTGATAGTTAAGTATTTTTCTCTTATAAGGAATACTGTAAACAAAATAAGAAAAGTTTACATGCTGTGTTAGCATAGTTAAACTCATCAATTCAGATTTGTTTACAATTAGGTTTGAAGACATGCTGAGGTTTTCCAAAACAATCACCATGACATGATGCAAAGAAGAGGCATCACCACATGACAAGAAACAAAAAGTCACAGCTGCCCTCCTCTGCAGCAAGTACTGTGCTCACTGATATCAGCACCAACATATGAAATGGAGATACTGTGCTTCTGTACAAACTTGAAAAAAAAAAAAAATCCTCATGATGGAAAACCGTCTGTCTTGCAAGGTTGCTGTTTTGCCCTAGCTAAGCAATTTCACACAGCAGAATATTAGACCCCACTTTTAGCAAACACAACTAGTCCTGAAAACCTACTCTGAGCCCAACAAGTGAATTAACCATATGTTTACAAGGAATGCTAACTGCCATAGACAGAATTGCCTTCTGCTGAAGGGGATTAAAGCAGAATCTCTTTCCAGTAGATGGCATATTGATAGCACTGTATCATTTTTTTAAACTTCCATCACATGTTGTTGAAAAATTACTCTGTGTTCTACACAGCCAGTGTAGTGACTTTAAGCAGCTGCTTAAGAGAGTTGTCAAGGACTTCTACATATCTCCAACTCTACAGTAGTTTCAGTATCCTTTTAGTAACAGGATGACAATTCTGGTATCAAAAGCAAAATTTCACTTTACAACACTTATTCTACTTGAGTGGAATTTTAACTGGAATTTTCCTCACATTTATCACTTTCATTCCTCAATTACACAAGAACATAAATCATCATGTGCCACAAAATTATACCCTTATGAAAGTATATCCAATCCTCAGAGTCATGCTGTTCATCATTAATATTCATATGCCAAATTTAACTTATTCATATTCTTTCCACTATTTTTTGAAATGTGGGGAATCTTAAATATATATTTTATTTTATTTTTTACAACTAACAAGTACAAGCTACAGTTTATTTTTCATGCAGGTAGTATTTTCCCAAGATGAGGACCTACTTTTAGGGTTTTATAATAGATACTTTGTCCCAGTTTAGTCCCCTGAAAGTTCAAGAAGTTTGTAAGATACTTCATTAAAACAATAACATATGAAAAATTAGAATAGTTTTCCACACCTCTTCAGTTTGATCTACAGAAGCTCATGCAAGATACAAACCTTCATCTCCAAAAGCTGGCTTGGTGCTTCCTCCCTTTTTTAACTATGGCATAATTTAGCAAAGAACATATCACTCCTAAATGAGTGTAAAATTATTAATCTGAATTGACTAGAAGTTTCATACTTGACTGCTAATGAATGTTTCCTTGGACCCTTATTAAATCAGAAGCAATAAATACTGAATCACAATATACTACAATTTTCCTCTAAGTGCTATATTTCAAAGAGCATCAGAATGTTTTGTATGGACTGGCACTGGAGAGTCCCTAAATCAGATGGGTTACAGAAAAAAAAAGTGCCCCTCTCTTGCCAATAATGATCTCCTCCAAAGAAGTGAAGTAATTGAAGCATTTTGATATTCCTGACTTCTCTGCATTCTGTCCTTTTCTCCCTCAAAGACTTTTTCAGTTATAATTTGTGTGTGTTCGAGCATGTAAAGAGATGTGCTCCTGCTGTACCTGACTTGGAGTTCTCAGCAGGCACACACTCTTTTCTTTCTTTTTTAAGTCTCAGTGAACAATTAAGGCTGAAAACATGCAGCGCTTCAGCAAAAAGCTGCTTCAGTGCTGATTTTATAGGAAGATACCAAGAATAAAGGAAAAGACATTTCCCTGATAAATGTACATTCGTATATCCTCTGATAAAATGCTTTACTGATTTAGTAGAAAGTACCCTATAAACTTCTAATACAGCAGAGTCCAAAAATTTGGGCTTGATTTTCTGATGAGCAACTGGAAGTTAAGAAGCCTGGACTGAGAGCAGTGTCATTGTCACAGACCTGCTCTGTGCCCAGCATTAACTTTCCATCTGTGTACATCACAACAACAAGATAGTGTCTCAGCTTTATCTTTTCTTTGCTGAACATGCTATGCCTACAGCATAGAAAATTTGCTCTCTCTGAGCAACTGAGCAATACATGTTATCTTATCAGAATTCTGCATGGCCAGAACAGGTTTTATTTTCAAGCTGAAGCAGATTATGTTCAATTTTGCTCAATGATTTATTACAGTTGCACAGAAGGGGGAATGCTTCTAGATTGCAGCAACTTTTTGACACGCTTCCGGGTGTTGAGATAACACTGCAACATCTCACCTGCATTTCACAGTAGAAAAAAGAAAAAGGTAAGCCCTAGGTCTATGCTCAGCTATAGAAACCTAAACTGAGATGAGATTGCTCAAGTGTTTGTATTTTTTGCACTCTGTAAGAGAAAATGTTACCATGTTCTCCATTTTAGCTGTTTGGGTTCCTTATTTCCAATGAAACAGACTCTTTTCACTGCTGTGTGTATAAAGCTTGTAGTTGTTACATCACACAAGCCGTGGGTCAACTTATACAAGAGTAGCTCTTTCAGATAATTAGAAAAAAATAAAAATTAAAAAAAAAAAATGTCTAGGAACACCAAAAGAAAACTCAGTACCTTTGAGAGAATCGGGGGAAAGTGGGGGAGGGGGAGAGATAATCGGAAGATAAACTTACTACCCCAGTAAAAGCTGAAATGTATTACATCTCTTGAGAACGCTGAATCTCCAAAAGCACCCAGCAAGCACAATAGGAGAAACTCGAAGCAAAATACCTGTCGGTACTCACCTAGCGCTGAAGACCAGTGCAGGAAACAGAGGCAGCAAGTAATAAGCGGAGATGAATTTCATACTGGAGGTTCCTCCGTTTCGTTCCTCACGCTCCTCTTCGCACCGACTCTTTGCCTCTCTCTTCTTCTCTCCCTCCAGCAGCTCCGGAGCCTCTCCCTGCCGGGGGAGCTGCCCGCCCTGCCGCGGGAGGGTCCGAGCTCCGCCAGAGCAGCCAGCCCGACAGAGCGAGGAAGGAAGGGAGCTCCGAGTGGGATTTGTGCTCCAGGAGTGATGTCACGAGGCAGAGCGAGGAGCTGCCGCCGCTGCCAGCCCACAGCTCATAGCCCACAGCTCACACAGCCCACAGCTCATAGCCCACAGCTCACACAGCCCACAGCTCACACAGCCCACAGCTCACACAGCCCAGGGCCGGCCCCCGAGGGATGCGCTGCTGCGGCCGGAGGGGCTCAGCACACAGGGCATTACCGAACCCAGAAACCACCCTGCCTGGAAGGAAAAAAGAAAACTCCCATAAAAACAGCACCGATATTTTGCCATGAGTGGCTGCGTTTGAAGCGAATCTAGAGAAGACAGTGGATACAGAGGCAGGAATTGTTTCAGGCAGGTGCTACAGGTCAGCCTGTCACCACACCTGGAAAGGATTCGTTTCTGCAAAGGAATTCACAAGTTACTGCTGCAGTTAGGTATTCCTGCCCTCAGTACCACGGCAAGTTAAAAGTATGAGCAGACAGAGCACCCCAATTATATTTTGAAACATTGATGTAATGACCTGAAGCAACTGATGAAGACCTTCAGAACCGTTAAGACTGTTTTTCCTGCTTCACATGTTCCTGTTTCTCCTGATCTTAATCTTGATATAAAAAAAAATCAGAGGTGGTTACAGATGTTTTCAGAACCTAAGTATTCCCGATTTTGCCACAAATTAATCTCATCTGATGAAAAATAATCTGAACAAATAACAAATTGTATGAAAGTACATTTAAACAAGACTCACTTTTCTATGCAATAAAAAAAAAAACACAACAAAACCACAACCCAACAACACCACCACAACAACCCAAACTTCTCAGCGAGTGAATGAAGTGTGATCATCACAAGAAGGAGTTCTGGTCATCTCTGTGCTTGTCTAGTCATATGAAAGACATCCAGAAACTAAATTATACACCACATGCAAAAAATTAAAGTTTCCATAGTTTAAGTTTGTGTGTCATTCCATTCAGCTGTTTATTAAGAAGGAATTTTGGAGCCCCTCAAAGCAAACAAATTCAGTGTGAAGTGAATGGAAATCTTTTTGAAATTAGTACTGACCCTTAAGGTATTCACACAGCATACAGATAGAATTAATCAAATTATTGCTTGCATTCTTCAACAAAGTGAGAGGGAAGGAAGAGAAAAGAAGAAAAAGACAAGGTACATAGTAAAAAAGGAATAAAAGAATGTATTTCTGGCCCTTGTTACTTGTGCCACAACTCTAGTATCTTTTTCAGCACACTTGATAACAAGTTCTATTCAACCACATTAATTTAAATCAGCATTTATTGTTATTTGGATGCTACATACCAGCATGAAAGAAACACTCATGTTACCATGGATACTTATGATAGAATAGTAAAAAGGTCATAAAAAGTGCATTCAGCTTGTCATTTTCTCTTCCAGAAAAAGCCAGCCTTCCCAGGCTACCAGGCATCTCACAGTTGTGTACCAGCAGCTAATATTTCTTTCATCTTCCTTTCATGTGCACACAAACAAGGTGGGATGGAGGGGAAGGTACAGGTGCATCAAGGGAGTAAGTTATGTCTGATGATACTGAGTGATCTTAAGAAAAAATAATGAAATTTTGTAAATGTAGAAATTCTTTTTTTAAATTCTGTTACTACTCTGCCTGGTTTTTGGGGGGTTGGAATAGAAAGGCTTAAGTCCTAGTTTCATCCCAAGGGTTTTATCATGCTTGTATGGGAGAACATCCCCACACATGTTTTAGTGGCTCTGGTACAGGTAGCCTGCAACTTTATAGCTGTATCACCCAGATATCATATTATCATTCTTTGCATAATTTCTCCATCCTGATCAGAATTGATTTAACAAACAGAAAGATTTCATCCTTACCAGTGCTGCTGCTTTTGTCCTGCTTTGATGGGAGCATCCTATGAAGACAGTCCCAGCTCAGTTTCAGCCTGTGAACACCCCAAGGGTTCAGGGTGGAGGTTTTCCCATCTCCAGTCAGAATATGGGAACAGAGGCTCTCACTGCACACAGGAGATGCCCTTAGGAGATGGCAACAGTGGCTAAGCAGGGATTGCAGCAGTTGCAACTCTGAGAGTTGAGATATATACAGATAAAAATTGTATTACTGTGAAGAGATATGTTCAGCAGTGATTTATGGTAGGACAAAAGGAAACGCTGCATTTTTAGGGGAAAACTTCTATAATTAATGACTGGGCCCCTAATCTTAAAAGCTACTCTTGTCAGACTCGATTGTGCTCAAGCTGTTCCCCTGAAGACATAAAAAGCGTCTCTTTTTCCCCCTCAAATGCATCACTAACCTTCATCTAGAGTTTTCTATTGTTTTGAAAGGTTTGGGGTGTTTGGTTTTATTTTTAGAGGAGATGGAGATTAACAGCGTAATGTGCATCTTCAGAATAATACATCCACACCAAAATATGGGAGAGAATTATTTACAGGTTTTTGTAGACTTAGACTGTATAGTCAATTTGTTTAGTTCTGCATACACTTAAAGGGAGATCAAATATTAATATATAACAACTTCAGGGACCTTGGCTAGAAATATTCTGTACAAAGACAGCAGACATACATAGAGAAATAATGTATTTTCACTGCTATAATTAAAGGCTTTCCCCATTTATTGAGAGTCTTACTATATAATTACTCTGAGCTTAGCAAAAGTAAGGTGATTATATTTGCTGGCTTACAAATAACCATACACAGATAATACAAATAAGAAGAACACAACAGAACTATTACTGCAAAACTCCAAGACATTTCAATCACTAGCTGTTACAAAGGTTCTTGCAAGTTTGCCTAAATACACTGCTAGTGCAGGAATACCATTGCTTACCGTAGAGAGGAAAAAAAATCAACTGCCTCCCTTTGCAAATTACAGCATGGGCTTATGCTTGAACAGAGCAAGCTTATGCAGAACAGAGACATCCACTTATGCCTCTATTTCTGTAGTAACTACTATAGCAGGGGTCCTAATTTTATTTTCATTCTTTGGAAGTAATGGCAATAAAAAAGAATAATGAAATGATGGCATACATTATATTCAGTTATTTGAATATGTATGTGTTAAGAGATAAATTTATTTAAACAAACTTAATGAAGCAGACTGTTAACATTATCTTGCTTTCAAACACTAAAATCTAAATGTTGAAGCCTTTGCAGAAAATACTTCCAGAAGAATAAGGACTCAGCTGTTGAAAACAATAATGTATTTTATTTCAGGGTGCTTTACAGGGACAATTGGTAATTTTTCATTTGTGAGACTGAGGCAAAGCTACAAGTAGCTACAACTATCTCAATTGCATGCCCAGTGCTCTGTAAAGCAGACTGTATTATGATCTAGATATCATATCACCACTGCAGTGCAGAGAATGCCAGCTTTATGTCTTTTTATACATGTGGGTGTATACACATATAAATACACACAAACACACAAGTACATGTTTTTTGTTGAACTGAAGCACCATTTTAGGTAACTGGAACAGTAACTTGATAAATTTTTACACTGGATACAACACATTTCTATGTCCTAAAAAGACAAGTCAGACACAGAGGTTCCCTAGTAATATTATAATTTTTTAAATACCTCCAGTATGATAAATAGCATTTTTAATAATGGAGGAAGTACAAAACCACAGATGTCAGTTGTCTCTTCTTGGGGATAATCGGTGTGAGGTAGTTGCAGACCTCAGTGATACAAAATGAGTACAAGTAGCTCTGAGACAACAGCACTGGCTAAACAGAAGCATAAATGACTCGTGACTTGCAGGAGACACTTTCTCTTTTTTGCATAAGACTGAAAAACTAAAACAATCTCCTCACTCTGTTATGCACTCAGCACACACACAATGCATTACTGCAACGTTGGCTAACGTTGCCAGCAGGAGCATCTCTCTCTGCCTCTTCTGTTAATAGCTCCTAAACCATTATAGTTTTGAAAAAATATGACAGGAGCACTGACATTTGCAAGTAAGTAACCCAGAAGCTTGCTCACAAGAACTGTTCCTCCTGTAAGGTATGGTCAAGCAAGTACCAGTAAATTCAAGCCAGTTAAAATCAATCAAACAACAAAATCCCACACTGTCTTATTTATACAACCCTAATTACAGAAGAAAATTGCAAAGCTTTACAAAACAAGTGATGGAAATAAAAGACTGTTTATTTTTATCTAACAGAAATTAAAGACAATTTATAGATTTCATGGGTATTTAGCTACCAAGATCTGAACACTTATTCAGCCTAAGGAAGGGTGGGGAGATTCTTCTAATATGAAAAGTTACACCTGAAGAGCAGTGCAAGTTAATTATTGGGGTTTGTTTTTTTGGGGTTTTTGTTTGTGTGGGGGTTTCTTTGTTTGTTTGGGTTTTTTGTTGGTTTTTTGTTTGTTCGTTTGTTGTTTGTTTTGTTTGGGGTTTTTTTGGTTTTTTTAGCCTCCAATCTTCAGCTTCTGTTCACATTTCTCTCTCCTCTTAAAGAAAGATTTCACTTTAACTTTGGAAACAGATTTGGCATTCCTTTTCCCAATTTTGCTCCCTCTTTTCCCACTGTTTTCTCATTCCTTTCCTCCCAGTGGAGAGTTTCTTTGCCTTTGGAAATGCTCCTTCTATTGACTAAACTCTTAAATCTTTTAAGCTACTGAAGGGCAAAATGTTCTTACCAAAATAAGAAGGCAAAGCACAAGTCTCAGGGTGGTGTTTCAACGTACTGGGCCTCATATTTCATATCCACATGTATAAACACATACCTAGAAATAGTGTATGCAGATTATTACTGCTCTTGATTGAAACCTGATGCATTAACAGGAACACTTTGTGAGGTAA